CAACATTTAAGACAATACAGATCACATGAAATAAGGGACGACCCATTTGAGACAACATTCAAACGTTTAGAAACCAGCGCTTACAGAAAGCTCCCTTGTTTGTACCTTGGTAACTGGACCATTGATTCCCAAGCAATGGCAAGGTATAAAAAAAAATAAGTATGTTGGGGGGATGGCAAGTGGATCAGCTGGGTAGAATGCTGTGCCTGCAACTGGAACGTTGTCGGTTCAAATCCCAAGGTGTGCAGAGATGACACCAATCTACCCTTGAGCAAAGCACTTCACCTCCAGCTGCTCCAGAGACCAGTCCGTCCCTGATTTGTCAAATATGAATGTCGCTTTGAATAAAACTGTCTGCTAAACAAATAAAACGTAACGTTGGGATGAGTCTGCCCACATGTCTGAGATGTAACATGATGCAACCCAAGTATGTGGTACCTGTTCAAGGTCAGACAAGGATCTTAGGGGCGTTATATGAATATCAGACACATTCTGGCACAAACAGCCTGCTGCCCTGCAGGCAGAGTTAACAGGTGTGAGGACTGCTGGGCTGCTGGGCTACCTCAGCATACAGAGTCCAGCCAGTCTGGTCATCCTACAGATCCGGTAATAAGACGTAGGGAGCGGAAGCTGACATCTAAGCTACGAGCACTGGCATCCCAGTGAAGTATTTCCTACTGGATGCGTTGGCAGAGTCTCTCTTATAACCACATTCACCGAAACAATAACCAGAACTGACACAAACTAACAGGAGTAAACAGAAGACTGAGTGGAGGGGAAAAAAAGGAGGATGAAGAGGATGGAAGTACAGAAATCCCATGTGGGATTTGCACCAATGTGTTTATCGAGGTATACACGATACCTATTTATTATAAAAGCATTAATTAAACTGTGAACAAAGCAGAAGAAATGTTAATTATTAAATGACTCTGGCTGTCACTGCATTGCATTCTGGCATTTTGCAGAGACGCAGTCACGCAAAACAAATCGGAAAGACAAAATCGATCTCATCAGCTCGAATCCCAAGGTCAGAATTACTGTGCTCTCTAACGAGCTAGCCAGACATAGCCAAATGAACCGCATTTCTCCACTTATCTCCCAAGGCCGAGAATGGGGGGAAAAGAACACATACATATATTATATATGTATTAAATTCACCATGGCAACCGGAATCTGAGGCTTCAGAAAGGCAAACGTTCCAGAGAGCTCTGACGTTATGGGGAAAATGGATTTAAGGATTTTATGGACTGGGTCAGGTGTCAGTCTCACGGGTATCCTGACAGCACCATTTAAAGTTCCATTTCTAATCAAATCTGAATGCAAAAGTAACGTATGCTGCCAATTCACAGGTTTATTTAGATAAATGCCACAATGCTTATCCACTGATTGCCAGAAAATGCCACAGAGCTAGGAGGAGGAAAAAAGACATTTCTTTAACATTTAAGCATTCAAATGACTCAAATTAATCTTAAGGATTCTTTGGAACTATTGAGATTTATACTACAGAGATTTATACCTGCACTGAATCAACTACATCCTGACTCAGGAGAAGTGCTACTCGATCCGTCATGCTATACTCAAGTGTTTCCCAAACCAGTCCTCAGGGCACACTGGATGGATCCACATTTTTGTTTTATCCCAGTTCCCAGCACACCTGTAAGGTTTTTAGAGCTCCTGATTGCTTGGGTCAGGTATTCTGGGAACTGGGATAAAACAAAATGTGGATCTGTCCAGTGTGCCCCAAACATTGGCTCGCTGCACTCTCTGGACTGCATCTTTGTGGAGTATTCATGTGATAAAGACCCCAAACACAGATTAATTTGAGCTTTGTAAGAACTAAGAGGAGTAAAGAGTGCCATGGAATTCCCTCCGCACTCAGCTGACCCCGACCCCAGGGGATCATGGGATATTTATGGTGCCCCCCTGAGGAGCAGGGAAGCCAAGCATTCAGTAAGATTCAGGTGATCACTGGGCTATTCTCACATCATACTGGGATAACATGGATCATCGGGCTTTGCACAATGAGGAGTCCATGCTGCCTTTAAAGCAAATGGGGGACAAAAGCAAATACCAGGACATTCTGAAGTTCGAGGAAATTTTTTCAAAGATTCAGCTCAAATAATTATGCTGATGATATTGCTAGTAAGAAACTATTTTATATTAAAACAAAAGAATGCAACATTAAAGTACTTACACTAGGGGTCTGAAATTTAAGTCTAGATTCTGATTCTTAGATCCATCCATCCAGCCATCCATCGGCGATTATCCGGGGGCGGGTCGCGGGGACAGCAGTCTAAGGAGGGATGCTCAGACCTCCCTCTCCCCAGCCACCTCCTCCAGGGGAATAACAAGGCGTTCCCAGGCCAGCCGAGAGACATAATCTTTCCAACGTGTCCTGGGTCTGCCCCAGGGCCTCCTTCCGGTTGGACATGCCCAAAACACCTCTCCAGGGAGCCGTCCAGAGACATACTAGATAGATGCCTGAACCACCTCAACTGGCTCCTTTCAATGCAGATGTGACCTTTTTCTTTCGGTCACTACCCAGAGACCATGACCATAGCTGAGGGATGGAATGTAGATCGACTGGTAAATCGACAGCTTCATCTTCCAGCTCAGCTCCCTCTTAGCCACGACAGAACGGTACAGCGTCCACATTACTGCCGACACTGCATCGATCAGCCTGTCCATCTCCTGCTCCCTTCTCCGCACACTTATGAACAAGATCCTGAGATACTTAAACTCCTCCACTTGAGGCAGTAACCCTTCCCCCACCAGGAGAGGGCAATCCACTCTTTTCCGGTCAAGAACCATGGCCTCAGACTAGGAGGTGCTGATCCTCATCCTGGGCTGTCTCATATCCTGACTCCCTCGAACCGGACCGCCTCTGCTCCTTGGCTACGCCTAGAAATTCTGTCTATAAAAATTATGAACAGTCCAACACCCACTGGGAACGAGTCTGACTTATTGCTGGAATTGCAAACCAAGCTCTCGCTCCATCTGTACAGGGACCTGATAGCCCGCAGCAACGAACCCTGTACCCCATACTCCAGATGCACCCCACAGGACCCCCGAGGGACACAATCATACAGGTAGACAGGTTGAGCAAACTCCTAATGAACCTTCAATTATCCGTGTGAGGGTGAAGAGTTGGTCCAGTGCTTCGTGACCAGGATGGAATCCTCATTGTTAACGATGGTCATAACCATAAATTTAAAGGACAACAGCGTACACAAATGCACAAAACTCGCCGTGACATTTAGCTGTGTGCACAGGCACAAGGTCAGACTCGCTTATGAAGGAAGTGTACTACCGTGGGCGCGTAAACACAGCATGCGCACACTGCAAGACGCCCTCTGAGTAAGACCCCAGGATACAGGGGAGACACAGCGGGAGTGTTTAAAGAAAAACATGTGTTAGGGTATCTGAATGCTGACTTTCCAATTAAATACTGAAATAAAGAATAAAACAAACCTTAATATAAATAAACATAAATACATGAAACTGTTTAATGCTTGAATTATCTACGTCAGGCTAGATCATTAAATTAAATTAAAATATTTCACAGTTAAATACATGATTAATGTCTCCGTAAGTAAAGCTGTAAAATTCTGGGCCCTTTAACTGGCGTGAGTCAAAATTAAAAACATAAAATTATTCATTTATTTTTTAAATAAATACATGTAGCATGCTTGATTATCCAAGTCAAAAAATGAATTTCTTTGAGGTTTAACAGGAATTGGAAACAGAATCTGTAAATCCATCCACTAAAATAATTAGGCAGTGGCAATTAACAAAAAAAAAAAAAAAAAAACTTTACCTTCAATCCATTACCGTTATGGACAATATTATAGAAAATTAATCAAGCAACTAATCAGTGCAAAGTTCCAGCTCTTATTTTCAACACTTGACCATTAAAGACAGGGCTGTTTAACAGATAAACTACGGCCATGAACTTTCAGATTAATGATACTGACTATAAATATTTACAACGATGATACCAAGATATCTGCATAACTTTGCCTTTTCCACCATTCACACATTGTCCCGCGAAACAAAAGATGTACACCTGATGACAGGGATTCATGGGATACACATGATAAACACGGCACTAAAAAAAACAAAAAAACAGTCGTTTGGAATCAGCTGAAACTCTCAGCAAACAACACTACAGATTTTTATGATCACATGCTTAACGATGTCATGTGAATATATAAAGTACCATGAAGAGTACGGGAAAGTATTTCACGAGGAGGAGTAACACTTCTGGCATAACAAAGGAATAAACAAAACTACCCTATAAAAACAAACAAACAAACAATAAAATAAAAAGCAAAGCTGGGAATTTTGTTGGCCTTCAATTTATTACCAAAACATCACAAATTATTGAGAATGGGCAACACTACATAAAATGAATGCATGACTTAAATGTTTTTCTGCCCATGTGAGATAACACAGACTAGGCTTCCTGCCATTAAGAAGCTGTCCCAGAACGATCATGGTCATGGTCACGCCCATCCGTGGTCATGTGACAAAGCCAGCATAACCACGCACACACAAACACGCCCAAAAATATGCACATGTATTCACATGTATTCATTTCTTTGTGGGGACTCTACATTCATTTCTATGGGTATTTAACCCCAATCCTAGCTATGACAACCTTAACCCCTACCCAGCCCTAACGTCAACCATGAGTAACCAAACTACATACAAGACTTTTGACATTTGTACTTGTGTGTAGAACATAGCCTCACCTTCAATACCTGGACCTGGCCCTCCATGGTGATGTCCTTCAGCAGCTCGCAGAATGACCTACACAAACCCTCGGCATAGTTCTGGGGGATGAAGAGGAGGAGGAAGAGAAAGATGATAGTCAGGGTGTCATGAAATACTCCACCACAGGACCCATCACCCCAAAGGGTGTGATTATCTCTGGCCTGGTACAATCGTCCCAGGTCCCAGGCACGACGCCTCACTGAGGGACCCGTAATTAAGGTACTTCAGCAGGGACCGAATCTTCGACACTCACTTCCTGTTCTGTTGTGGCACTGACCTGCAGGAACTCCGTGGCTGAAAGGTAGGTGTAGGCGTTGATGATCTGGAAGCATGTTCGCAGGTTTTCTGAGCTGAGTTCTGTGGGACAGGAGAGAACCAACACATCAGATGGGAGGGGCATCAGGGGGTCGGAGTGAGTGAGTCGCAGGAGGGCCAATGGGAGTCAGGGCATTTCCCATCATATAATCACAAGGGGAAGGGAGCGTGGCTGCAGGAGGCACTGTGGGTCAGGGATTGGCAACTGCCCGGCGACCTCCTTCAGCCCCCGTCAGCGGACGACATGACGCTCAGCACAGAGGGATCAGGCTCCATGACTCAGCGCCTGCAGGTGGGTGGCTAAGACTCCTCCCAGCCTTGTGCTGTGACTCGCTTGGCCGAGATCCTAGCGCGCTCTAACCGCCGTGACTCGCTTGGCCGAGATCCTCGCGCGCTCTAACCGCCGTGACTCGCTTGGCCGAGATCCTCGCGCGCTCTAACCGCCGTGACTCGCTTGGCCGAGATCCTCGCGCGCTCTCACCGCCGTGACTCGCTTGGCCGAGATCCTCNACCGCCGTGACTCGCTTGGCCGAGATCCTCGCGCGCTCTCACCGCCGTGACTCGCTTGGCCGAGATCCTCACACAGGAGCAGCGCTCTGATCTTCATCCGAAGAAAAAATTACAAATGTCAGACATCTATATGATATAAGAAGCCTGGCTGAAGGAAAAAGGTACATGCATGTAATAGAGAGCGTTTAGACCCAAAATGTTTTAATCAGCTAATAACCCAGTTAACGGTAAATTTAATACCTCAAAGTGTTTTACTAAAACAGACCAATGAGGGACCTTTAATATCATTGTAGCACAAATATCACATTTAGATAATACTTAAAGCATCACATGGAAGAATTACTTTAAAAGCTTTTGGTTTCTTATAAAGGCAATTACATAAGTTTAATGTGACAAGATGTGGCAAATATGGGCTTCAAGGTTGTGTGAATAATTTATTATTCTGAAGCTCCAGAGGAAATAAAGAATATTAACTTGCTTTTTCTTAACCAAAAATTAAGGGCAGTGGGCGGGGGGGGGGGCACAGTCATATTTAACCGTCATCCTATTGCAGGCTGAAGGCAAGGGAAAAAAAACACGACCAAAATAGGCAAAAACGTGGGTAGCGCGGATTCTACGGTTTCGAAAGAACACAGGTCATGCAGATGATTATCCACAACGGCACGATCACTCACAGATTCAATTCGCTAATACAAAAGAGATAAATATCAAACTGGACACTTACGCCTGGAAAAAGCAAAATAACGTACTGCTTGAAAACCATAAAATAACTGATAAATTCTGCCTGTTGCTGGGCCTACACAATGCTGGGTGGAAGTCTGAAAAACGTCAGCCAGTCGTGGAGAGGCGCCATTAATCGCTTCAGCTCAGATCTTAATTTGCCAGCTGCACATTAAGGTTCAGCAGCTGCTTTGGGTTCCTATACTATCAGCTGAATTATGTCAGTCGCCATACCGGCAACAGTATGAAAGTACATTTTACTCCCTGATGTAAAGGCCGCACAATGTGGGCCAGATAAAAAGCCGGGTTTTACTGAAAGGGACACTTTTTTCCTCCAGATGACTGGCTCAGTGAACGGAAACACAACAGAATCATCAATCGCTAAGAACTGGACTATCCCAAGGGCTGAAATAAAAAAATAAATAAAATCCTAATGAATAAATCTTGCCTTTTAATAGCTCATCTCCTGCTTTCTGCTAATACCCAATCCCAGCTTTAACTTGCCACATTTACTGCGATTTTGACCACCCATTAAAAAAAAGAGGGTTTTCTCATCATAACATCTAAACCGGGACCTGTGGTAGTGAGCTACCATCCTCGAGCCACTTACACACGATCAGGACATTCACTAAAATGCATCGTTTCCTCGTTTATCGACTGAGTTCAGTTCCAACGACCATGTCGTTAAGCGAAATGGTCTGTAAGTGGAACTCACGGTAGCCGAGGCGTGAGCGCGACTGCGCTGCATGCTCCAGAGATAACTGGTAGCTCTCGTCTCTTTCACGTAAAGTTCGCGTACAGCTACAGCATGCGTTACTCTCACTCGGGCGTGCGTTGTCGGCAGGCGTAAAAAATTTGGTCGCGTGTTGGTGGAAAATTCTTTTTTTTTTTTTATTACCGATGTATTTGCGAATGATCGCTAACCTAAGTAGTCGATAAATGACGAGAGGGTGCAGAAGTAATTTAGGATCTTTCTTAAGAGTCCAAAAGCAGAAATCCTCTGTGGACATTAACCTGTTACCGCAGGTCATTAACAGTCACATCTTCTGCCAGGTATCACCCTCTCAAAAAGCAGGCTTCGCCCCTCCCCCGTGGCCCCCTCCCCCAGTCCTCCATAGACAGGGTAATCACTTTGATAGTGTTCCAGTGGCACCATAGTGCCTTTTGGGTGTGATGTAAAAATACCACTGGAGCTTCACTGTCGACTTCCCTGTGCATCACACCGACTCGAAACATTCTGTCCTTTTCTGAGAGACGGGGACGTGTTTTTTCAGCTAGACTGAGAAAAAAGGCATCGGCAGAATGAATACGTCTTTTACATTAGTGCGGCACATGGTGAGATCGCATTAAAAGCTGCACGCTGTAAGCTGATTATACGAGTGAGGCCTGAGTGCTCGTTATGGGGTCCTGGCGGTGGCTGCGTGTCCCACCTGCCCCTCGTTTCCGAGCCATAAATCCATCCTTTTATGCCTCTGGCTCGCGGGACCCTGGAGCAGCGTGTGCTGCTCACTGCTGAAACCCCATCGACAGCGCAGAAATAAATTTGCTCGACTGTTTTCGCAGACTGCCCCGCCCCTACCAGCTTCGGATCTCTGTTCCCGAAAAGGGAGCGTTCAGTAACACGGCTCGCTGTGTTCAGGAGTTCTGCTCCCCGACGCACTGGAGACTATCTGACCTACTGCATTAAGGACGGAAGTGAGGCCATGGCTGTAGCCATGTGCGTGGTTATAATGGATAATAAATGCATTTTGTGTACAGCCCCCCCGCACCAAGGCGCTAGGTAGACAGACACCAGCAAGGAAAGGCCACTTCAATGTACCGATGTCCCTACCCTCGAGGGGGACACCACGCTGACCCACCTTAGGAGAAAAAGGGACAGAGTGGAAGGGTTAAAGGATAAAAAGCAGCAAGCACCAAGCAGCCTTTTACATGCTCTATTCACAGTTAATGATGATAATACCCACAGAGAGACAATTTAATCTCTGCTTCTTTTCTTCATGAATATTTATCTCATCACTGGCAGTTAAGCATCTTGAGTGAAATACGAAGTTTTTTTTTCTCCCCCCGTTACCACCTGATGGAAACAAACAGCGGCAGAATCTGTCACAGCTACACCAGTGCGGACAAAAGGAGCCCCCGAGCCGAATGGCGGCAGAGCCGTCGGTGCCGGCGTTTCTCACCGCGGCCTGTAACCCACCTGTGTCACGCCGTGGCAGATGGCTGCCAGGGGGACGGGCGCACAGGCGCTGTCTGTGCGAGGCCGATGACTCAGGCCCCGTGGAGCCCGCGATCAGGGCATCAAATGGCACTCTGAGAGCACATTTTACTCCCTGATGTAAAGGCCGCACAATGTGGGCCAGATAAAAAGCCAGGTTTTACTGAAAGGGACACTTTTCTTCCTCCAGATGACTGGCTCAGTGAACGGAAACACAACAGAATCATCAATCGCTAAGAATCGGATTTTCCCAAGGGCTGAGATAAAACAACAAATAAAATCCTAATGAATAAAGCTAGTCTTTTAATAGCTCATCTCCTGCTTTCTGCTAATACCCAATCCCGGCTTTAACTTGACTCATTGCCACATTTACCAAAACTCCTTTAATGGACGATTTTATCTGATTCTTACAGCTTAGTGTAAACAAGAGCGCACTCACACTCTCAGGCCAGGCTGCGAAGGCCCACGTCTTTAACAAGGCCACGCTTGACCTCTGACTCCATGACACCACTCGAGGACCTGGTGGAACTTGTGGGCCCAGTATGGAAAAGGGGCTCTTTTTCCCAGACAGATAAGGGAAAAAGTACTGCTAACAGAGATGATGAAACAGAGAAGCCCCCCCTCCTCCCCAATCTCAGAAAAGACACCTCTTAATGAGAACAAATGGACCTCGCATTGAATATTTCCACTTTCCCCCGACCCCAAAGATCATTTGCATTGCATTCCCCTAAGTTGCAGTTAATTCGCTGCACAGTAGCAACACGCATGCGCGCAAGACGCTACCCTCACGCACGCCGCATGCTAAAGTGCCACCCTCTGACACCTGAACTGCTTTGACCATACAGATGTCTGCACGTGCCGCCTTCTGGACGGTGCTGCAGACGCGGAGCTGCCGAATTAAGAGAAGTGAAGCCGTGCACCCAGTTTTAAGAGAAACGGCCTCACACAAGGCATTCATTAAAGAGGTAAAAAGGTGGCCTGTAGCTCACTGAATACTGGAGCTTAGAGCGATTTACCAACAATGGAGTAAAGAAAGCGGAAAGCATAAAGCAGGAGCCCAAAAGCAAAGCGTTTCTCCTACAGTAACCATTCAGCTCTGATGCGATTGTGCACGACCGAGGAGGACAGAATGAGGAAACTCTGCCAGGTTTGCTGAAGCACAGAGGTGCTGACACTCCGGAATAAACAGCTTTCACAACAAATGTGAAATTAATTGTGGAAGAAAAAGCCTTTTGGGCGTGAATAACTTTAGATTTTTTATAATCGTGTCAGTTACATATTCTGCTTTTTTGCAAGCTATAGAGACCATGTCCCAAATGCTGGCTTGTTTCCACTGCAATACAGGGTGGGTGGGGGGGGAATCCCCCTAACAGGCCCACAGTAAAGTGAGGTATAGTATAATTATTTTAAGGAAAACACTATTTGGTGCCTCTCCTTGGATTGCCACCTTATCGTGGTGGAGGGGTTTGCATGCCTCAGTGACCCTGGGGGCTATGTTGTCGGGGGCAATAGCCCCTGGTAGGGTCTCCCAAGGCAAAAAGGTCCCAGGGGAGGGGCCAGACAAAGAGCAATCCAAAAGAACCCTATGATAAGGTAT